AAAATGCAGTTCGAAAGAAATAAGTTAATGTGTTGTGAGCGATCATCTCTTAAGGCCAACTCTATGCACATATACACACACACCTGTGCACGAAAAATCATGCACACATGATACACAGCTGTAGCCAAACAAACATGCGTGCACATCTGCACAAAATAACATCCAAATAACTATTAACTTGGGGTTCACAGCGGTGTTGTGAGGGTGGGAGATTCAGGGCACCACTGATGCTATTAAAAATGCTGCGTCTCCAATTGCCAAATTAGCGGTCGGATGTATCGTAGAGCAAGCGGTCCCTGCTGTTTACGACGTCGCAATGCGATCCTGGAAACCCCTTCATTGTGTAATAAAAGGACTCGAACACTTCTTTCTGTCTTCGTGTCTTTATTCAGGTTCACGTCTTTACCCACACGGCACTCTGTTATAACTCCTGTATTTGTAGCCCCCGGCTATTCACTGCTATTATAGCTTCCTCTCCCCTCTGACTCTCTGCTTCATCTACTGTAACCTCCTCCCTGCAGACTCGCTGCTACCCCTATGCAGACTCCCGCTTCTACCCCTATGTGCAGACCCTCTGGCTGTCACTGTATGCAGACCCGCTGCCCACCCTCTCTGTGCAGCCCCGCTGCTGACTGCAGCCTCCTCGCTGCTTCGGGTCGGTCACCGCTGGCCAACGGTGCCGATCCTCGCTCCCCCCGTGTTCGTGGCGATCTCACCACACCCCGCTTCGCCCTTCGTGGCCTTCCTCTGTTCCTGGTTCCCCGTCACTCCTCTTGCTCTTCCGGTTCCCCTCCTTCTATACTCAACCCCTCTGCCCCCCACGTGACCTAACTCCTCCCCCCCTGACGGCACCTCAGAAGGGCCGTTTACAACCGCATTACATCACCCTCCCCCCTAAAGAAAATCCAGCCGACCTCGGCTGAATTGCAACCTGAAAAGCAATGCGGGTGTAAAGGGCCAACACGCAAAAAGACACGAAGCATTGAAGAACATTATAACAATAACACAACACAACACAATCTAACGAAACGTGAGGGATTTCGAGCGAGTACGGGTAGCCGGGCCGTCCCGGACGGTCGGCGACCCACCCGCCGAGCGGGAACGTGGAAGGGTTTTAGGGGCGACGGGCGCAAGTTCTTCCGTCGCCATTGGAGGCCCGCCACTGTCCCGCTCGCGTCCAGAAACATCCCGTACTCGCGTCCGCGGAGGGATAGGAAGAGCTGCAGGTCCCGTGGGTTCTGCGGCTCCGGTCGGCGTCCCACAAGCGGAAGGTCCTCCTCCCTGCGGTGTCACGGCCGGCTTGTCTGTGCCGGAGGGTCTTTCTTTGGGGCGTCCGCGATCGAGGCCTCCTGCTGGGGCGGCCCCGGAACCCGGGCCCAGCAGTCCCTGGCATAGTGGCCCCGACGGCCGCAGCGGAAACAGTCGACGTCGGGTCGGCGCGCAGCAGGCCCCCCGTCCCGACGTGGCCGCGCCGGCGGCGGAGCCCGCGGCCCCGGCCCGCTTCGAGCCGGCCACGGAGTGGAGGCGGCCGACAGCTCCTTTGGGCCGGTCGCATCCGGCACGTACACGGCCTTTGTAGGGTCCCACCCTACGGCCCCCCCATCGACGACAGGACCGCCCGTCCACGCCGTGACTTGTTTCCAGCGGCGGAGATTGAACTGAGCGTCCAAACACTTGGCCACGGTCCGGGACGTGAGTTTCTCGTGACCGCACGCCGGCATAGGAATGCCCAGATCCCGGGATAACTCCAACATCTTCCCCAAGATGAGAGGTTCCAGCAGGTCAGGCTCCGTCTCCGGGTAAGCGGCCATCGCGAGTTCCAGCACGGCGCCCCTGTACGCTACAGGCGACTCCTCCGGTGCGCGTTGCCGCTGCACGAAGCGGCGATGGGCGTCATCCGGTGGCTCGTACGCGTCCGCCATTTCGTCGAACACTCCACGCAATGTTTTCTTCTTCGCAGCTTTTATAGAGCGAAAAAAACGAACAGACTCATCGTCAAGGAGAGTCGGAAGCACCTCCAGCGCCTCGGCGTCCGTCCACCTTGCCGTTCGTACCGCCGCCAAAAATCGACAAGCGAACGCACTCCAATCGCCCCCGATGGAGAACTCCTTAACAGTTGTAAGGTGACGACTGCGGCTCCTTGGCTTGCTTCCGTCCGTCACCGACTCTTCCGGCGGCAAGTTCAGCAAGGCGTCGCAACGCGGTGTCGCCAAGATGGCGGACGATCCTCGTGGCGGCCCCAAAATGGCGGCTTCCCGCCTTCCGTGGTGCGCCACGCCCAAGATGGCGTCTTCACGCCGCGTGGCCGATGGCGGCGCCATCGAAGACGACCCGGGCTCCTGCCGATCACCACCATCACCTTCCAACGCCGCCCTTGGCGTGACAAGGTCACACAACTCCGTGATGACGGTTTTTAGGGTCGCCAGTTGCTCCGCCATCCGGGTCCATCTTAAATCTTCGTCCTTCAACGCAGATGGGTCGGACGCAGCGGCAACCTCCTCCACACCCGGGCCCTCACGGATCTCTCCCTCCGCCGAAGTGAAGCCGACCTCAGGAGGAAGATCGTCGTCGTCCGATGATGAAGCCGACGCCGGAGATGGGATATTCTTCTTCCTCAGTTGTTTCGCCATGCCGTTTCACTTCTGACTCCAGTGTAATAAAAGGACTCGAACACTTCTTTCTGTCTTCGTGTCTTTATTCAGGTTCACGTCTTTACCCACACGGCACTCTGTTATAACTCCTGTATTTGTAGCCCCCGGCTATTCACTGCTATTATAGCTTCCTCTCCCCTCTGACTCTCTGCTTCATCTACTGTAACCTCCTCCCTGCAGACTCGCTGCTACCCCTATGCAGACTCCCGCTTCTACCCCTATGTGCAGACCCTCTGGCTGTCACTGTATGCAGACCCGCTGCCCACCCTCTCTGTGCAGCCCCGCTGCTGACTGCAGCCTCCTCGCTGCTTCGGGTCGGTCACCGCTGGCCAACGGTGCCGATCCTCGCTCCCCCCGTGTTCGTGGCGATCTCACCACACCCCGCTTCGCCCTTCGTGGCCTTCCTCTGTTCCTGGTTCCCCGTCACTCCTCTTGCTCTTCCGGTTCCCCTCCTTCTATACTCAACCCCTCTGCCCCCCACGTGACCTAACTCCTCCCCCCCTGACGGCACCTCAGAAGGGCCGTTTACAACCGCATTACAATTGTCGTAAATCAGGACCTCTGTTTTCTGATAGACCAGCGGTTCTTAACCGTTACTGCAGCCTTGCATCCCTTTGGTTCTCAATCGTAAAAAAAAAGTATAATATTAAGAAATACACAGGGTTTGATGAAACAAAGTAGTTGTACTTACGTGCCCATGCTTAATTTGTGTTTTCGATGATTTACCTTCGAGAAAAAAATCTGGCTGCGTCTCGCACCCCCAGAACGGGCATCTCGCACTCCCAGGGGGTGCGTGCACCCCAGGTTAAGAATAACGACATTGCCATAGACGGTCGAAACAGGAGAGACGTCACTTGCCGGTGTGTCTTTTTTCTCTTCTTTTTCGTATTTATCAGCCGTTTTTATTTAGCGGGGTTTATGAAGAGGTAAAAGTCGTCCACACAAAACAACTCGAGAATAACTAAAGGCTCGGAAACGCCGGGAGACGTCGGAAAACCGGAATGCGGAATGAATTTACGTTTGGGAATCATGTCGGATAGTTTAGTAGTATAAACGTAATACTGTATGTGGATTGTCGCAAATCTGACCATCGTAAACCGGAGACCACTCTGTGCTCCAGTATTACATTTCAATGATTATTAATGTTTTAATATTTCTGTATACATTTGGTAGCTCCCTCAGAATCCATGACCATGGCCTACAGCCCTGAAAGCTCCTACATTATTCCAGCCCTCAATATTTCCCTGTCACCAGGGATTAATTTGGCTCTGAACATTTTCTGTAACGCTCCAAGGATTAATTTTTTTTCCTCTCTCAGTATATTCTGAAATGCTCCGAGGCTTGCTCGCTTGCAGTAAGGGATTATTACCTAAGGGCACTACCGCTGAGCACAGATTATGCCTTTCCAAAATTTAAGCCTTTGTTATTTGTACCCTCCATTGCTGTAATCTTCATTTCTATAAGCCTGCCAGGTGGATGCGGCGTGCCAAAATAATTCCCGGCACAGTCTTCCGGACCTTTTCCAGCTGAAATTAAGGACTTCATTTTGAGCGATTGCATGCCAATTTTGCAGCGGTTTCCCGATCTCTCTGGACACGCGCAACCTTGGCAACCCTCAAAACATCCTCACGTCATAAATGATTAATGAGCATTTGGAAAACTCTCCGCTGCCACCCCACATATTGCAATTCACTACTCTACGGGACAGCTGGAAAAAACCTTAGCAAGCTGCAGCGTGTAGAACAATCTTTGCCACTTGTCGTGATGGATACTGCAAGATACGACCGTGTCCGTCCAGTGCTTGCCGAGCTGCATTGGCTTCCGGTTGCCGAACAAACACATTGTAAGGTCGCAATCATCACACACAAAGTGCTTGCCACAAACGAGCAGCAATACATTTGCTGATCTCGTCAAGGAGCATAAATTACCATCACGTGGGCTCCAGTCATCCTCGCAGTGGGGGCTTTTGGCCGGCGGTTGAACAAAGACAGTAACCGAATCGCTGCGCTTTCAGATACGCTTCTGCGGCCGTCTGGAACGCTCTTCCTTCTGACATTAGGAAGCCACTGGGAGCTATGCACTTTTAAATAATCGAGATTGACAAATTAATTTCTTTAGAACTGTTTTTTGTTGTTTTGTTTCGTATGTTGTCCTTCCCTCTGCACTACCAATAGGCACCGTTGGAAAGGATTTCAACGTGCACGCGTACAAAACAAAACCGATGTATCTGCTCCAGTTCCACTGAGCACTCCTCATGGCCTCACGGCCACCGGCACGTGTCCACGATCCACAACCCGGGAAGAGCTGGCGTGCGCACGCGGTATGTTCGCGCGGCGCGAGCGAACGCACCTTGGCCTTGACGTCCAGCATGTCCATCTCCACGTCCAGCTTGCCCTTGTGCTCGCGCCAGCGGCACAGGCGGCCGAGGGCGCGCACCGCTGCCAACAGAAGCTGCACGGCCGACTTGGGGCTGGGCACGAGGTTGAAGGGCACGGGCAACGTGCGGCCCTGCTCGAAGTACGAGATCCAGAGCTTGGCGCGAGCGAACTTCCACTCCACGTCCGAATCGTCCTGCCGGTGAAGTATTTTTTTCGGCATGAGAACGACTGTCAAATACATATTTTTTTAGACGCACACAGACAAATATCCCCGGCGCAGCCTGTGACAGACTGTTGGGGCAAGTGCTGTTAGCGAGTCGCAGCACCTATGAAGGCCGGCACTGTGGCACACGAGGGGGTGGGTTGGCCAGCACCAAGCCCGGCCGCCTTTGTCTCCCCAGTGGTGATGTTTTTACACTCCGCACCAGGTACTCATTTGAGGCGAGTCAATGAGTCTCTCTGTGATAGCCAGGTCGCTTCTGAAAAATATCTACGTAGCTCAGTGGGCCTTACCTCCAGATAGCATGGTTGGCTAAGTACGGTGCGAAAGAAGTTCAACATCCGTACAGACATACATTCGTCGCACCGTTTAGGAAGGCATCCGCGACATAAACCGGAATGATTACCGTGCAGTGCAACAATGGGCTCTTGCTGCATTGCCCTCTGGCTGACGATTGTGTTATATACAGGAGATCATCGATTATCTGGTGGCTTTCTGCACGTTCTTAAAAGGCGTTATGTTTTAGGTGCTGTTTGTATGTGTTTTCAATTTGTTTACAATATAAAAATGTCAATAAATAAACAGACAAATAAATATCCTATTGTGAAGAGTGACTATTTACTGTACCATACTTACCACTCCGATCTCGAAGACTCCGCATCATGGGGTGTGATGTATGTAGTGCCGCTAGGCTCTTGTTTCAACACAACCACTCGAGTTTGATGATCGCCGGACTGATGCAGCCTTGAGAGCGGTGCTCCGGCGAACGCCGAATAACACAACGCACTTTTTTGCCAGATCTCACCGTCTGTATTGTTTTTATCACCGTCGTTATAAGTCATGAAAGATGTAGACACGTGTAGTATTGTCATTGTTCAAGGTGTATGTAGTGTATAATGTACCGTATATACTATCTGACGCTGAAATCAAGCGCAGCTCCTTTTTTTTTGTCACACACACGGTGCCGATTGCCGGACTAGGTTACAGCCTTTGGAGCGGTTTGTTGTCGGTTTCACCGGATCGGCCCGGGACCGCCGGATAAAGTTGGAAGCCGGATAATCGCTCCACCGGATAATCGGTGATCGATTTTACATCTTAATTTAACAACTACAAGCTCTCTTTATATATATTTTGTTGACGTGAAGGCAACATTTAACACGTAGGCTTTCGCGACCAATATCGCCCATAATAGAGGAGTTGTTTTTGGGTTAGATCGCGTAAATATCTAAATGTGTCGTTACAACCCACCACCACCCGACACAGCCAACTAGTAAGGTTGTAAATGTTGAGGCTTGGCTCTCCAACACACCGGTGTGCTGTACTAGTGACGAATTGGCACGTTCTGTGTCGGGTGGTGGCGGGTTTTAACGACACATTAATATATTTACGCGATCTAACCCAAAAAAAAATCCTCTATTATGGGAAGCAACATTGTCCGCCCCCCACATTCCTCACCTCGATCTCCTGGTAGGAGCTGTTGATCATGGCGATGAGCATGTTGAGCAGCACCACCACCATGGTGACGTTGTAGACCCCGTAGAGGATGTAGCCGATGTTCTCGATGAACTTGTGGTTGTAGTTGATGACGACCGAAGCCACCTCGGAGAGGCCGAAGATCGACCAGAAGAGGGTCTTGAAGCTTTCCTCAACTCTGCGCGTGTTGGTGCGGCGCAAATGATCGGTGGTGGGGGGAGGGGTAAAAGGGGGGGGGGGGGATAAACGTCAACAATTCCCGGGGGGCCAAGGGAATTGCAGCAGCATGGGGCACGGAGTCTGATACGATACGGTCAATACACGGCTGGACGAGAGACCTCCTGCCACTTAACCACATGGGATGCATAGATAAAATAAAACTACCACACGCATGGCCCGCTGAGCTATATACAGCTCGTTTTCATAAGCGACCTGGCCGTCACAAATTATGGCTAAGCGAAGCGGCTTAAAACGTGGACATTTATAGCAGCCAAATACTCTTAAACGCGTGATGTCGATTCTAAATGTGGAGGGAAAACCCGGAGGACCCGGAGAAAAAAATCCACGCGACCAAGGGGGAGAGGAAGACACCGCAGGATCGAATCCACGACCTCCTGTATATCAGTGGCGCGGGTGTAATAATGAGAAAATAATAAACCATGGGTTTCATTGCAATGCCCACTGATGGTCACTACGTAGACCCACAGCCGTGGTCGCGTGGTGCTGATGCATGGTGGTCACGTGGTCTTCAGAATCATTCAGATTTTTTTATTTCGCCTGGAAGAATCCGTTGAAATACAAAGCTCTTTTCTACCGATGTCCAGTAAGGGGCGGGTCAGTAAGTTACAACAAACAATATAAAAACACCATAGGGGTACAAAGTAAAGGAAAGATAAGCAAGTCACGAGATAAAACCAAATAAAGTATATAAGTACATGGTTGTCAGTTTATCAACATAAATATGCCTCGGTTAAATGTCCTTGATTGAGCACGGTTCTCCTCACAGCACGGTTGGCTATGTACGGTGCAAACGAAGTTCAAGATTACATACATACATTTAGCCAATAAACCAGCCTAGAGGGCCTTGATTTAACCGGCCTGAGGTCTGGTCAATTGCATTGCCTTCCACAGAGCCCAGCAGCCTATAATGCATCGTGGTTGTTCATCCAAGCACCCGCCAGGCTCAACTCTCCTTCGCTTCTGATATTTGGATGAGGTGGGCTGCATTGCGGGTAATTTGTGTGTATATATACCTTGAACTTCCTTCACACCGTACGTAGCCAACCCCGCTCATCGGAGGTGCAGTGTTAGTCTATGGGTAGTATTGAGTCTATGGGTAGTGTTGAGTCTATGGGTAGTGTTGAGTCTATGGGCAGTGTTGAGCCTATGGGTAGTGTTGAGCCTATGGGTAGTGTTGAGTCTATGGGCAGTGTTGAGTCTATGGGCAGTGCTGAGTCTATGGGTATCGTTAGTCGATGGGCAGTGTTGAGTCTATGGGTAGTGTTGAGACTATGGGTAGTGTGAGTCTAGGAGTAGTGTTAGTCTATGGGCTGTGTTGAGTCTATGGGTAGTGTTGAGTCTATGGGCAGTGTTGAGTCTATGGGCAGTGTTGAGTCTATGGGGAGTGTTGAGTCTATGGGCAGTGTTGAGTCTATGTGCAGTGTTGAGACTATGGGTAGTGTGAGTCTACGAGTAGTGTTAGTCTATGGGCTGTGTTGAGTCTATGGGTAGTGTTGAGTCTATGGGCAGTGTTGAGTCTATGTGCAGTGTTGAGACTATGGGTAGTGTGAGTCTACGAGTAGTGTTAGTCTATGGGCTGTGTTGAGTCTATGGGTAGTGTTGAGTCTATGGGCAGTGTTGAGTCTATGTGCAGTGTTGAGACTATGGGTAGTGTGAGTCTACGAGTAGTGTTAGTCTATGGGCTGTGTTGAGTCTATGGGTAGTGTTGAGTCTATGGGCAGTGTTGAGTCTATGTGCAGTGTTGAGTCTATGGGTAGTGTGAGTCTACGAGTAGTGTTAGTCTATGGGCAGTGTTGAGTCTATGGGTAGTGTTGAGTCTATGGGCAGTGTTGAGTCTATGTGCAGTGTTGAGACTATGGGTAGTGTGAGTCTACGAGTAGTGTTAGTCTATGGGCTGTGTTGAGTCTATGGGTAGTGTTGAGTCTATGGGCAGTGTTGAGTCTATGTGCAGTGTTGAGACTATGGGTAGTGTGAGTCTACGAGTAGTGTTAGTCTATGGGCAGTGTTGAGTCTGTGGGTAGTGTTGAGTCTATGGGCAGTGTTGAGTCTATGTGCAGTGTTGAGACTATGGGTAGTGTGAGTCTACGAGTAGTGTTAGTCTATGGGCTGTGTTGAGTCTATGGGTAGTGTTGAGTCTATGGGCAGTGTTGAGTCTATGGGCAGTGTTGAGTCTATGGGCAGTGTTGAGTCTATGGGTAGTGTTGAGTCTATGGGCTGTGTTGAGTCTATGGGTAGTGTTGAGTCTATGGGCAGTGTTGAGTCTATGGGTAGTGTTGAGTCTATGGGCAGTGTTGAGTCTATGGGCAGTGTTGAGTCTATGGGCAGTGTTGAGTCTATGGGTAGTGTTGAGACTACGAGTAGTGTTAGTCTATGGGCAGTGTTGAGTCTATGGGCAGTGTTGAGTCTATGGGCAGTGTTGAGTCTATGGGCAGTGTTGAGTCTATGGGCAGTGTTGAGTCTATGGGTAGTGTTGAGACTACGAGTAGTGTTAGTCTACGAGTAGTGTTAGTCTATGGGCTGTGTTGAGTCTATGGGTAGTGTTGAGTCTATGGGCAGTGTTGAGTCTATGTGCAGTGTTGAGTCTATGGGTAGTGTTGAGACTACGAGTAGTGTTAGTCTACGAGTAGTGTTAGTCTATGGGCTGTGTTGAGTCTATGGGTAGTGTTGAGTCTATGGGCAGTGTTGAGTCTATGTGCAGTGTTGAGTCTATGGGTAGTGTTGAGTCTATGGGTAGTGTTGAGTCTATGGGCAGTGTTAGTCTATGGGCAGTGTTGAGTCTATGTGCAGTGTTGAGTCTATGTGCAGTGTTGAGTCTATGGGTAGTGTTGAGTCTATGGGCAGTGTTAGTCTATGGGCAGTGTTGAGTCTATGTGCAGTGTTGAGTCTATGTGCAGTGTTGAGTCTATGGGTAGTGTTGAGTCTATGGGTAGTGTTGAGTCTATGGGCAGTGTTAGTCTATGGGTAGTGTTGAGTCTATGGGTAGTGTTGAGTCTATGGGCAGTGTTGAGTCTATGTGCAGTGTTGAGTCTATGGGTAGTGTTGAGTCTATGGGTAGTGTTGAGTCTATGTGCAGTGTTGAGTCTATGTGCAGTGTTGAGTCTATGGGTAGTGTTGAGTCTATGGGTAGTGTTGAGTCTATGGGCAGTGTTAGTCTATGGGCAGTGTTAGTCTATGGGTAGTGTTGAGTCTATGGGTACTGTTGAGTCTATGGGTAGTGTTGAGTCTATGGGCAGTGTTGAGTCTATGGGTAGTGTGTATGTTGAACTTCGTTCGCACTGTACTTAGCCAACCGTGCTAATGGGAGTTGCGGGGAAAGGACAACAACACAATAAATGTGGCCGTTGGAGAAACACAAAAGGATTATTAAAAATGTGATGAAGACTTTAAAGGTTGAATAAAGTTACCTATTTTTAAATTGTGGTACAGCGGTTGCTGTGGCGCTACGAATCCGGTAATCCGAGTTCAACAACCTTCGCTGAGCCGCACTGACCAGCGTGGTGAAGCATGGCCCCAAAAAAAGCCATGAAAGACATGGCTTGGTGTAGCCTCCACCCATTGGTGGATTAATATTCATATTAAAAGAAAGTGAATTTTAATTATGCAATGAAAATATGTCGACCAATTTTGCAAAATTTGATTTATTACGTAATCCATAGAAAAAAAATCTTATTTAACCGTTTATACTTTTGAGAACTCTCCACGATATGATGCATTGGGGGAATTGTAATGTAGCCACTTTGAGATCGTTTGTGCCACCATTTTGGCGAGAAAATGGGTCACAGACGGAGCTTAATGTTAGATTTTTTTAAACCATGCAAAACATTGTGAGGAAATTACAAAGCGGTACTGAGAAATACAAAATTGCCGCAACCCTCCGCGGACTTGATGGCAGACTTTATCAAAGCTTCCTGCAAGCAAAACAAATTGGTCGCAATGCCATCCAGTTACTGTGGAAGTTTAGTGCAGTCATTGCCGTAGGCCCTGAGTTGCAAATAATGAATGTGCCCTCGGAGGGAACCGCACTCATTGCAGAAATTAGTTTTTTTGTTCACACATCCACATCTTAAATCTCACAAAGGCAAGGCAAAGATCACCCATATAGTTTCAACAGACTGTAGGGGCAAGTGCCGTTAGCGAGCAGCACTTATGAGGGCCGGAACGGAACAGGAGAGGGTGGTTGGCCAGGACCCCAGAGGCGATATTTACACACCCCACCAGTTACTCATTTGAGGCTAAGTCGACCTAGGGGAGGCCCAGGACCAGTTGACATAATCGTCACTGGTGTTGGCCGTGAGCGGGAATCGAACTCGGGGTGCCGGATTCATTGCGCAGCGTAGCGTTAACCACTACACTGCCGCTCCCCACCTTAAATCTCACACGCACGGGACGAGCATTTCATAATCACGGAGAGGCCACGCTGATGCTTGTCTCTCGATTAGCCCAATGATGGTTCATCACGCGAACTCCTGTGGTCATCCTCGCAGCAGCGGCTTGTTTTGGCTTTCGGATGTGCTTCTGCGGCTGCCTGGAATGCTCTTTCTTCCAATATTAGGAAGCCGCTGGAGCTATGCACTTTAAATCATGTAGATTGAAAAATCATTTCTGTAGAGCTGCTTTTTGTGTTTGTTGTCCTTCCCCCGCGACTCCGATTTACGCAGTTGGCAACATACGGTGCGAAATAAGTTGAACATACATACGACACTATACACTACACTATCATACACCACACTATCCACGACACTGCACTGTACACTACACTATGCACTTCACTATACAATACTATACACTATACCAGTATACTAAATTGAAAACTCATTTCTTTAGAACTGCTTTTTCTGTGTTCATTTGTTGTCCTTCCCCCGCACCGCCCATGAGCACGGTTGGCAATGTATGGTGCGAAAGAAGTTCAACATACGTACTATACTATACACTGCACTATAGACTACACACACTATGCTATACACTACACTATACACTACAATACACTATACTATACACTACTATCCACTACACTACTATACACTGCACTATAGACTACACACACTATGCTATACACTACACTATACACTACAATACACTATACTATACACTACTATCCACTACACTACTATACACTGCACTATAGACTACACACACTATGCTATACACTACACTATACACTACAATACACTATACTATACACTACTATCCACTACACTACTATACACTACACTATACTCGCTTGAAAACATATTTCGTTACAACTGCTGTTTGTGTTTAGTTTGTTGTCCTGCCGCCGCACATCCGTTTAGTGCAGTTGGCTGCGTATGGTGCGAAAGAAGTTCAACGTATGTACGCACGGACATTCAGGAATTCTCATCACGATACGTGAGACGTGGCCGTGGAGCAACAGTCGGCACAGCAGACTTGCAATCTGGAGGTCGCCAGTTCGACCTCCCAATTTGAACCTCGTCCAATTTGAGCAACGTCGACTCTTTATTGACGACACCTTTTGCGACTGCTGTTCGTCGCTGCTGGCCGCTCGGCGTTTTGACCTTTCGGGGTGCCCCGTGGGTCAAAATGAGGCTAACTGCTGGACGCCTGTGAAATAGATCTTCTAAGTCTTCTTGGTTCTTTCGATAAAGGAACGAAGAAGGGAAATAATAAAATAATAAAAATAAAACTGAATTAAATACAATTATTATGTTTATTTTATTTTATTATTTCCCTTCTACGTGACTTTACTGAAAGAACCAAGAAGATAAATCCCTGCAGTCACGAAAGCTTTAAATCGAGAGCTTCTAAGCTCATTGGATTTCTCATCAGGATACAAAAGAAAGATTCTGATATCGAGGCCCACTCTGACCAGAACCTCCCTCCCATCCCAACCCTCCCCAAATCCTCAAAGAGACTCACGTGACAAAGGCGCGGTTGACCTTGGCGCCCCGGTAGTATGAGTATAGGTTGAACATGCCGATCATGAAGGCCAGGAAGACCATGATGAAGATGACCATGAACTTGAAGATGTCCTTCACCGTCTGGCCCAGGGAGATCTGAAGGGGCCCAAAGCTCTCGTTGGCCGGCAGGATGTAGGCGATGCGCGAGAAGCTCAGCACAATGGCGATGGAGTAGAGGCCCTCGGAGATGATCTGAGGGTCCGAGGGGAGCCAGTGGCTCCGAGCTGGTGGGGTAGACAGACGCGCACGCGCGCACACTTGTCAAATTGTTGGACAAGTAGCTTCCGCATTTTTTTCCCCCACCACGCAAGCGAGCCAGAGCCGCCGCCATCGCCGCCGAGGGGCAGGCCATGCCAAATCGGCCCTCAGCATAGCTCCGCAGGTGCCGGCATTGATTTTTTATTCCACTGCAGAAAGCCAAGCCGTGCCATGACGTGCCGTGACAGTTTAAAAGACAATGCAGATACTATCAGAGAATTTATTTTTCATGTTCACCACAAGTATATGTGGTTAATGCAGTGTTTTAACATCTTAACACCTGTTTTAGTGACAGAAATGGTAAAACCTATTCTTATACTTTGATACTGGCAAGGGAGGTCCCGTGATGTAGCTGCTCGCCCCGAGTTCGCAATGTTCTGATAGTACGTTGTCTTTGTGCTGTTCACCTTTTGGCGTCGTCTGGTCTAACACCATTTGAGACTAGGCTCTAAAAAAAGCTGTCTCTGGTGTGGACCAATCCATTTGAAAGACGATGCTTATACTATCAGAGCATGTTTTTTTTGCATGTTCACCACAAGTATGTGTGGTTAATGCAGACATGATTCCTTGCAAAAGGTTTAAGTTTGGTGTTTTAACATCCTAACACCTGTTTCATTGCCAGAAGGGGTAAAACCTATTTTTACACGCCAATCTAGCCCGAAATAAACTTAATTTTGAAACGCATATTATCTGCACCCACTTATAGAAATAAACTAATTATGAATCGCATCTTATTTGCAGCCACGCAAGCTGTTTTTTTGGTATATTTCCATGATTTTGAAGCTCAAAATGACAATGGTTATTAATGTTTACGTTGTTTACGCTTGAGATGTTGAGCCCTGATAGCAGCAGCACTTGTGCCTGTGTGCGACGATTGCCAAGCGGGGCTTTAGTGTCCCCTTTTAGGCAGCACAGATCCTGACCAGTAGTCACTTTCACTTAAATTTGAAAGTGCGAATGAATCTGGCTCCATCCGCGATGCAGAGGTCACGGCGACTCTCGTGAAAGGGGGGCTCCGACGTCGCGCTTCACGCTGAGAGGGGCTTTTCGATGCACATTAAACACCGGCCAAATTGATCAAAGGGGTTGCCGTTTCGTCAACTCGGCCGCCGTACAACTGACAAGGTCACGTCGTAATCGCCCGTCAAATACCTCCAGAGACCAACGCGCGTTGGATGGCGTTGCACGGATTCGATGCGCGCATGCAATTCCTCACTCATCGTTTTAGAACAATAGCAGTACGCTCCACGGTGCCACGTCACCTCTGTGTACACACAGCGGTTCAGCCGTTATTGCACTGACCACGAGCCTGCCCCATCGATTCATAAATAATTTATACATCATCACGACCACGCATATATGCACACGGCGCATGAATATTGCACAAATTGCATGAAATTGAAGTGTCGGTCACCGCCACCATCATCGTCATCGTCGTCGCAGCAACAAACTTTCCCCCCTGGAGGCAGAAATTTAGCGGGCGGTTATCACATTAATCTTTCATCATCTTACATCAAAATCGCGATGGGCGAGGAAGGTGCGATATTGGCATTTGCAATTGCCCGGCTTGCATTCATTGTGAGGACAATAAAAAAAAATTGTAATGACTCTGAGACTCGTTCTTGCTTTACTAAGAGTCTTTATTGTGGACACCAACAACTATTCCTAGACTCGGGCTTGGTTCTCGATTCTCGAATGTCATCTCTCCAAGCTGCCCCTTCCCTTCGTGCTATCCCCCTTTAATATCCCTCGAGCCCCCTTTCTGGAAGGTTCGCTCAGCCCCAATTCCTTCAGCCAATCGTCGTCCTCCTTCTCTTAACAGTTGTAAATCGTCACACCGATAGTCAACCCTCGTTTTCCGCCTGTTACGTTTGAATTGCTCTACTTATTAGTTTTAATTATCTGGTCGTAGCCAATCCCCTTTGAGGCCTCTCTGCACCAATCAGAGGGTTTGACGCACGCATATGTAAGTGGTCCCTTGTTTTCAATCTTTACATAATTATTAATTATTTTCCTGCATAAATGCGGAGCAGTGCAGGAACCTCGTAAGTAAGTACGAAAAAAACAACAACACACCCGGTCATAAATTCGGCACTTAGAGCCACTTTAAAACTGAGGACACCACTTTAGGATGTGATTGAAAATGCATTCGGTGAGAAAGCGGCAAAACGCCGCTCCAATCGTCTTGACAATCACCACTCCAATCGTCTTGACAATCGCCACTCCGATCGTCTTGACAATCACCGCTCCAATCGTCTTGACAATCGCCGCTCCAATCGTCTTGACAATCGCCACTCCGATCGTCTTGACAATCACCACTCCAATCGTCTTGACAATCGCCACTCCGATCGTCTTGACAATCACCGCTCCAATCGTCTTGACAATCGCCGCTCCAATCGTCTTGACAATCACCACTCCAATCGTCTTGACAATCACCGCTCCAATCGTCTTGACAATCGCCGCTCCAATCGTCTTGACAATCACCACTCCAATCGTCTTGACAATCACCGCTCCAATCGTCTTGACAATCGCCGCTCCAATCGTCTTGACAATCGCCACTCCGATCGTCTTGACAATCACCGCTCCAATCGTCTTGACAATCGCCGCTCCAATCGTCTTGACAATCGCCGCTCCAATCGTCTTGACAATCGCCGCTCCAATCGTCTTGACAATCACCACTCCGATCGTCTTGACAATCACCACTCCGATCGTCTTGACAATCGCCGCTCCAATCGTCTTGACAATCGCCGCTCCAATCGTCTTGACAATCACCACTCCGATCGTCTTGACAATCACCGCTCCAATCGTCTTGACAATCACCACTCCGATCGTCTTGACAATCACCGCTCCAATCGTCTTGACAATCACCGCTCCAATCGTCTTGACAATCACCGCTCCGATCAGCTTGACAATCACCGCTCCGATCGTCTTGACAATCGCCGCTCCAATCGTCTTGACAATCGCCGCTCCAATCGTCTTGACAATCGCCGCTCCAATCGTCTTAACAATCACCGCTCCAATCGTCTTGACAATCACCACTCCGATCGTCTTGACAATCACCGCTCCAATCGTCTTGACAATCACCGCTCCAATCGTCTTGACAATCACCGCTCCGATCAGCTTGACAATCACCGCTCCGATCGTCTTGACAATCGCCGCTCCGATCGTCTTGACAATCGCCGCTCCGATCGGAGCGGGCACATTGGAGAGGGGGGGGGAGGGCGGGGTGACCCGATTGACCCCGCCGCCGCCACTGCCGCCCCGCGGGTCTCTCGCGTTCTAATTCGCGGCAGACGGCTTGGCGGCAGTCAGCGGACAGCCGTGAGGATGACAACGGTTTTACTCTCTGTGTGCGCGAAATGAGTCGGTGGTGGGCGGTGAGCGGTGACCACTCAATTGGCCGGCCGGGCTAAAAGCTGCCGAACGTTTCCAAAGTAATGTCCCTTTAATTGCAAACGTGCTTTTCATCATTATTATTATTATTCTGGATGAAGGCCTACCAAAGTAGTCACCATCTCACACGATTCTGAAATGTAATGATACAAACAACTCATTCACACACAAGCTTCAAATGTACGTGGAATTTAATGGTCAGCTTCTCTAATTGCCGTCATTCCCATTAGCCATGGGGTAGGGTTCCTCGTCAGCTTTCCTCCTTCCTCTTGTGATCCTAATTCGTTGATTCAACCTCTCAATCTCACCCCCAATTCCATCTCGTCCTCCCCAAGGCAGCCCAGCCACCTTGTTTGCTGTCTCTCCCCTGAATCATCCCCTCTTTAATTTTTTTCATCAAAGACATTCTTCAAAACCTGATCTAAGCTCTTCCTCACCGTGGTGGCAAGATGTTAACTATCTCGCCTGGTATACAAGAGGTCATGGGTTCCATCCCGACCCTAACGCCTGCTGTATATTTGGCGATTTTTTACGGGACCCTACGGGTTTTCCCTCCACATTTAGAATCAACGTCGCGTGTTTAAAGTATATGGCTGCTATAAAATTCCACGAGATGATAAGCCACTTCGTTAAGCTGTCATTTGTGGCCAGGTCGCTTGTGCAAAAGAGATGTAAACATAAGTTGGGCCTTATCTGGTAAAATACTAAAATTGTTTAGTTTAACAATTGAGTATATTTTGATTTAAAGCTTTCGTGACTGCAGGGATTCATATTCTTGGTTCTTTCGGTAAAGTCACATAGAAGGGAAATAATAAAATAATACAAATATTAAAACAATACAAATTCTCATCATCAGGTGATGATGATTGCTTGTGTTGCAGTCGAAACGTCGTGAGAATTTTTATTGTTTTATATTTGTATTATTTTATTATTTCCCTTCTACGTGACTTTACCGAAAGAACCAAGAATATGAATCCCTGCAGTCACGAAAGCTTTAAATCAAAATATACTCAATTGTTAAACTAAACAATTTTTGAACCAAGAATATAATTGAGTATATGTATACACCACCTTAGTATTGCGCCTGTCACCTTACTCAGCACGGGGCTGGCCCGTGCCTCATCCCTCTTCTCCTCAAGCGTGAGATGTTCTTGAGGACCAGGTGGCGTTACAACCTTCATGAATTTAATTTTGAAATCTTTCTGCAACGCTTCGCTTTTATTGTCTGGCTTTCTGCACCCCCACCACCGCCGGCGGAACAATGAGACGTGAGATGGGGGGGGGGTTGTGGGGCCTCAATCCAGCAGCGGATTGTTCTTAGCCGATTACGACGATGGATTTGATGCATGGCTCTTGCACACATTGCCATGGTGGTGCCATACAACTCTCCGACGCGTTGCGGGTTGGACCGCGAGTTGTTCATCGTTCGACGTCCAATATTCCGCTCCACACGCCCGGAGCTTCTTAGTCAAAAACCGAATTAAAAATCACGAAAAGACTTCCGGCTCGCTGATGGAAACGTTGGACTTCGAAGGATGCCCGGTACAAACCCAGAGAGCGTCGGGCGGCACCCACAGGGTCGGGAACGCCGTGAGGAAAGCAATTCGGGAACGCCGTCCGGGACGACGCTGGGAACGGTACACCAGGAACGCCATCGGGAATGCGGGTTGAGAACGCATGTGGGGAATGCCATCAGGAACACGCATCGGGAACGCCATCAGGAACGCGAATTGGGAACACGCGTTTGGAACGCCGTCGGGAACGTGCATTGGGAACAAGTGTCGGGAACGCCGTTGGGAACGCTGGCGGGAACACGCATCTGGAACGTTGTCGGGAAGGCTGTTGGTAACGCCGCTGGGAATGCGCATCGGGAACGCCATCGGGAACGTGCGTTGGGAACAAGCATCGGGAATGCCGTTGGGAACGCCGGTGGGAACGCCGTTGGGAAAACCGTTGGGAGCATGATCGTGAACTCGGTCGAGAATGCGCGTTGGGAACGCCATTGAGAACACCATTAGGAACGCTGTCAGAAATGCCGTCGGGAATGCACGTTGGGAACGTCAGCAGCGGAGGAGGGAGCAGCCCATCCAAGAAATACGCTGAAACAGCATGCCTACACAGGTACTGTACGTCGATGGTGATTAACTGTGAGCAGCCAGTAATGGACACTCTGTATCTTCTGCAATACAATTTACATAATTAATTATATTAACATAATAATTAACTGTGCATAACCCTACTAATAATAGATATCCATAGTAATGGATATGGCTACATTAACCCCCACTCTGATCTTCGCAGCTGACATCGCATTTATCCCCCCTATTTAAGACCGATGAGGAGGAGGATTTCTCCACAATTCTGGCTGTAGCCTGATGAGGCTGGTTGTTGTATTTATAGGTAAAACGTCACGGTACTCGAATTGTAAATGTTGTGGTTTACTCCTCAACACACCGGTGTGCTGAACTAGTAATTCATTTCCATGTTTTCTTTACGTGACAATCCTTGCTGATTGGCTGTGCCAGGTGGTGGCTGGTTTAAGGGCGCCATGGTGGCGAGATGTTAACTCCTTCGCCTAGTATACAGGAGGTCGTGGGTTGGATCCCTACCCTGACGTCTGTATATTTGGAGTTTGCACATCTCTCTCCCTGTGATCGCGTGGATTTTTCTCCACGACATTAGATTTTTTTTCCTTTGACACAATGAAAATCAACGTCATGCATCTAGAGCGACTTGACGACTACTATAAATGTCCACGTGACGACGATGATAAGCCACTTTGTTGAGTTATCATCACGTGCGATGAGTTGACGGTCTCAGCCTGGTATACAGGAGGTCGTGGGTTCAATCCTGACCCTGACAATGCCTGCTGTATATTAGAAGTCTGCATGTCTTTCTCTCATCATCATTATCACGGTGGCTAGGAGATGTTAACTACCTCGCCTGGTGTGCAGGAGATCGTGGTTTCAATTCCGTCCCTGACGCCTGCTGCTGTAAATTTGGAGTCGGCGTGTCTCTCTCTCTCCTCTCGTGGTCGCGTGGATTTTTTCTCTGGGGTCTTCCGGTTTTCCCCTCCACATTTAGAATCAACATTGCACGTTTTAAGAGTATTTGCTGCTATGAATGTCCACGTGATGATGATAAGCCACTTCGTTGAGCCATCATTCGTGGTGGCCAGGGTCACTTCTGAAAACAGAGCTACGTAAAAGAAAAGAGCTACCCGGTAAAATACAAAAACATAGTTTAGTTTGAACGACATATTTATATTTTAACGATGTAAACTAAAAAAAAAAACAGCCTCATATATAAATAACATCGGTTCTGGCGGAATCCTACTACCCACACGGCGACGACAAAACCCACCCAGGTTGAAGTAGCGGATGTGCTCGGGCAGCGTCGCGTTGGAGACGTTGGGGAAGCCCTCCGAGTCGACGAAGCGCTGCGCCTCGGAGGCCTTGAGGAAGGCGAAGAGGCGCGCCGTGAACGACGCCACGAAGATGGAGAGCATACCGAAGTCGAGGACGTTCCACAGCTGGAAGAGGTACTCCTTGAGCCCCTCGGCCCACAGCTCCTTGCACTCGGCCCAGATCATTCCTGCGGCGAGGTGGTGACGAGAAGCCGGGGGGGGGGGGGGGGGGCAGTGGAAACACGAGCATCATGTTTTTAATGAATTTTTTTTAAATAACCATATGCGGTGGAAAAACTATAAAACTACAACTACAAACTATTTTTTTGTATTTTACCAGGTAAGGCGCCACTGAGCTGCTATATAGCTCTTTTTCAGAAGCGACCTGGCCATCGCCCACGATAGCTCAAACGAAGTGGCTTGTCGCCACGTCGCAATTGATAGCAACGGCTGAATACTCTGACCGCGTGACGTCGATTGGAAATGTGGAGAGGAAAAAACCGCAGGACCCCAGAGTAAAATCCATGTGACCATGGAGAAAAGATAGATAGACACGCAGACTCCAACTATACAGGCATTGTCAGAGTCGAGATCAAACCCACGACCTCCTGTAAACCAGGCAAGAAAGTTAACATATTGCCACTGGCACCAGAATTATGTCACACTTCCCAGCATGGAATTGTCTCTGGAAGTATTTAATGAATGGTATGGTAGCATATTAGAAATGTGCAAATATGCAAACATTTTCCAATTTTGATAAATTGTGTTGGTTTTATTTAGCCTAAGTCCCCAACAGCAACGCAATCTATATTATATTGGATTGACTTTACATGCGGACACATTTAATGTGTAGACGTGATATTACAGCATCGAGTTGAGCTGAAATAAATTGGTCCCCAATTTCCTGCACGCAAGTGCTTGTGCGTGCGTTTGTGCGTGCACACGATTGTGCGTGCACGCGGTGGCGCGACGGTCATAGCGCACTGCGCTACGAACATGGCTACACGGGGTTCGATTCCCATTTACGGCCAACATCAGTCGCCAATATCTGGTCCTGGACCTCCCCCTAGGTCTTCTCAGCCTCAAATGAGTAATCTTCATTAAAAGAGCCGCAATCGCAAATCCGCGATATGCCGACAGACACAAAGGCAAATATCCCCCATATAGCTTTAACAGACTGTTGGGGCAAGTGCTGTTAGTGAGCACATATTAAGGCCGGTACGGCTCACGAGGGAGTGGGTGGCCAACACCACGTGCGGCCGCCTTTGTCTCCCGAGTGGCGATGTTTTACACACCTCACCCAGGTACTCGTTGAGTACCTGGGTGAGGCCTAGGGCCGATTCAGATAATTGTGACTCGTGTTGGCCGTGAGCGGGAATCAAACTCAGGTCGCCGGGTATTTAGCGCAGAGCGCTAACCGCGACACTGCCGCTCCCCACAACATACATACACGATACACGTGTCCACACGTACGTTTGTACGTTGAGCTTCATTCGCAACGTACATAGCCTTACCGTGTTAATCAGATGTGCGGGTGAAGGACAACAAACTAAACACACGCACAACGCAGTTGTTTGGCGTTTCGCCTGCTGTCCGAGCGAGCACGTGCCCACCCACCGATGATCCACGCGATGATGAGCAGCTCCGTCCAGGTGAAGGACGTCGTCTTGATGCGGAAGAGCTGCTGCGGGTGGTCGGTCTCCGTCTCGTTGGGCAGCAGCTTGACGCCCTCGAAGCGGTCGGAGGCGTTGAGCACCAGCAGCGCCAGGAAGATGGTGAAGGAGGCGGCGTGCGCCACGAACTTCATGAACGGGCTCCGCAGCACCTTCCCGATCTGCGTCGCGTGACGAACCCGGGGGTGGGGGTAGGTAGGGGCGTAGGGGGGGGGGCAGCGGCGGCGGTGATCGTTTAGACCCCCCCCCCGGTTCCGTCGTCTTTCCGTGGAGGTGCCCGCGTGAGCGATCACGAAGCGTCGCGGAGGGCATGGGTTGACCGAGGTCAACGGATGGCCACCCACTGGGGGTCATGCACAGCCACGCTCGCGTGCATGGTTCCCGGTGGTTATTCGGAATGATAAAATCGACGAAACTATCAACTATTTTTTATTTTACCAGGTGAGCTATGTAGGTCTTTGTCCGCAGCGACCCTGGCTGGTACAAACGATAGCCCAACGAAGTGGCGGCTTATCACGGGAGGAGACCGGAGCACCCGGTGAAGCGACCCACACACGTGCGAGGGGGCAACGCTGTATCCTCTATGGATGGGACAGATGGGGATTCGTTTGAGCTCTACTACACCGCCCGCCTTTGCTGCCTCGAGAGAGCCAGGGGCTAGCACCTCTCCGACGCCTCCACGGGGAAGGGAGTTCCGCAACCCGTGGCGATCCACCAACCCTCGCAGCGCTGAATTGCAGGCATCCACGTGGGTAGCCACCACAGCCGCCCGTACTGAACGTCCGTGAAAAAGAGCTTCACAGCTCATCGGATTCCTAGATTAGGATTCTGAGCTCGGCCTTATAGACCACCCCCCCCCCCCCCCGTAAGCATTCACAATTCCTTTTTGAAGCCTGTTTGGATTTCCCCCCGGGCTCTATCCCGATTACTCGGTCCATCACGTCACGAGAGAGAGAGGGGGGGTGGGGTGGGAGGGGATCCAACGGATGCCTCGCAGGGCAGCGCAAACTGCCCCGTGTGTTGGACGACGTCCCCACGGAAGCGGACGCTACAGAGCTGCCACTGATATTCCTTCGAGTGACCACCTCTGGCCCACCCTGTCGCTGAACGTAAAATTCGTCGCGTGACAATTCAAGCCCCTTTTTCCCGTTTCCGAGGCGTACTGCAAGTCGCAGGGCGTGGGTGGGTGGTGGGGTCTCGTCCTGTTCACCGGAGATTTTCGCAAACGTGTGTGGTGGTAGCGCAGTTGTGTGTTTTTATATAATATTTTTATTCCGCATCCTCCCTCAAGTCGTACATTGCAACATCCTGACGTTCTGGACGGCGCTAGCAGGGTATCGACGATATCAAGTAAACCCGGACTCATCAGAGCAGGCGGAGAGGAGGGGAATTTACTTTGGGGAAGGGGGGGGGGGGCTTGGCCAGGTCATTGCCGTTCTGGGCTCAGGTATTTAAGAACGTTCTAAGGCTGAGGAATGGACCCCACCTACGTGTTGTATTATTTTTCCTAGTCTCTTGAGCTTATAGCTCAGATGCTCAAGTGCTGAGATCGGGCCTTAATGAATTCAGCCATTGAGTACTGGAATGGAGGTTCGTGGTTCTTCCACAAACTCAATATGGTTTTCCTGGCCAGCGCCGTTGTTTTTAGAGATGTTGTTACTCACCGTGGAGAACTGTAAGCGACACGACCGCCGCACTCTACGATGGCTGGCACCGAACTTAATCGGTACCGAGGCTCCCGCGTGACCTTGTGGGAACCTCGGTACCGATTAAGTTTTTTAATTTTTCCTTCGGTTACGTTCCGATGACGTACACACGTACGTCACACGGAATGGAACCGGAAAAAAAACTGATGACGCACACATGTATGTCCAGCGGAACGGTGAAAGGCTGCATGCTGATGCGTTTGAATCTCAAGAGCTGAAACGTACCCAAACCGAGTGCAGGAACAAGGTACCAAGCTCGCCGGATCGCCTTGAGGTCAGACTTCTAACGCGCTGGCTCTGTAGATTGTGCAGCACTTTTCCCGCAGCTTCGCACGGTCGACGCCGCGTCATGGCACTCGGTTCGAGCGACATCAACATCCACCCGCGATGATGGCAAATGCGGGAAAAAATCTAACATTTACGGAAAGGGCCCGTGGCACCACCCGTCAACCCCTGGCGCGGGCAGCGGTGATGCCAACGCGTACCACTTCTTACGCACCATACGTAGCCAACCGCGCTCATTGGAGGTGCGGGGGAAGGACGATGAACTAAAAACACAAAAAGTAATTCTAAATTTATGAATTCTCAATTTAGTCTAGTGGTGTAGTGTATAGGAGCAGAGTGTATAATAGTGTAGTGTATAGTGTAGTATATAGTGGTGTAGTGTATATGTGTGTATGTTGAACTTCTTTCACGCCGTACTTAGCCAATCGCGCTAATCGGAGATGCGGGTGGTGAGGGGGGGGGGTACCTGGCTACAAGGTGAGATCCAGTAGGCGAGCGCGAGGATGGGCAGTGACATGGCCACGGAGAGCACCACGAGGAATTTGATGCCGTTGGACTGCTGCCTCAGGCCCGAGATGTTCTCGTACCAGATGGACAGCAGCTGCTGCTGGCAGTTGGGGTGAGCCACAAACTGCAAGGCCCAGGAAAGCACGGCAGCCATCGTCAGCAAGCAGCAGCAGCCAACAGCAAGCAGCAGCAGCCAGCAGCAACCAGTAGTGGCAGCCAGCAGCAGCAGACAGCAGTCAGCGGCAAAAACAGCAGGAGCAGTAGCATACAGTGCGATAGCAGTGGTGCGCCAGATAACGAAACCTCAATGTGTTCGTCAGTAACTCTGCCCCACATGTAATATACACGCGCTCTTGGCCTTTCTTCACTGCTATGGTGACATTTCAAGGCTCTCCTCCAAAGCCCTGCGGTAGAGGGCAAAATGACGAGGCAATGATCGCGAAGGGCAGTGGTGCGCGAAAATAAACCCAAACCCAATTCGTCAAATGCGTCGGGGTTTTTTTGTAAGTTGAGGGCGCGCCAACTTTATCCCGGCTGCCCGACCACAGGTAGAGTAATGGCGTTCGAGTGACAGTCTAACCGATGTATATTTTAAATTCTCAAGAGCTGGAATTCAGCCACGGACGTATAACGCGATGTTTTTTGTTTACGTGTGTTAGTCTGTAGTCTAACGATTACTTTTTAAAATTTTACTCAGGAAAGGCCCACTGAGCTGCTATATAAGCTCTTTTTCAGGAGCGACCTGACAAGCACATATGATAGCCCAACGAAGTGGCTCATCATCATGTGAAGATTTATAGCAACAGTCAAATACTCTGAAACGCGTGATGTTGCTTCTAAATGTGGAGGGAAACACTGGAAAAAATCCACGTGACCCCGGAGAGAGAGACACGCAAACTCTAAATATCCAGCAGGCCTCAAGGGTCGGGATCGAACACACGACCTCCTGTACATCAGGCGAGGCGGTTAACATCTTGTCACTGTGGTGCCCCAGTCATCGGCGACTGAGCTTAGACCGTCAACCAGTTTAGCCACAGGCCTGGATTCCAACCCAGGATTCTCAACGGTACCGACTCGGTGCCCTGACCTCTGAGCCCGCCCGGCTACATCATTTTTAATTTAACGATGCCAAGTGCTGCTGCATCAACCGTACGCCGAGACGAGTTATTGCATGACCAAGGAAGGTACACAAATTAAGTGGCTGCCAGCCTGCCTGTGGGAGTAGCCATAATAGGCCAGGCTGCTATATCACATCTCGGTAACAACAGACAACAATTGCCCAGAACAACTGCCCAAGGGGCATAAACCATCATCACGCAAACTCCGGTCGCCCTCGCAGCAGTGGCGGCTTTTGGTTCAGCCATCGAACAAAGACGGTGATCGCTACATCATGCGCTTTCAGATGCGCTTTTGCGGCCGTCTGGAACGCTCTTCCTTCCGATATTAATAAGAAGCGACTGGGAGCACTATTAAATCTAAGTAAAAAACTAATCTCTTTCAGAACTGCTTTTTGTGTTTATCTTGTTGTCCTTCCCCCACACCTCCGATTACTGCACCTCAGATGAGCACAGTTGGTTACGTACAGTGCGAAAGAAGTTCAACAGAGATCAGAATCAGAATATGTATTTACACTGGATAAATCGGATTATCAATGAAGCTCTTTTTCACAGATGTCCAATAGGGGTGGGTCAGAACGTTCCAACAACAAATAATACAAAACATCTGATTGGAGTGCAAAGTATAGGAAAGGAAAACAAATCACTTTAAAAATTTCCAAATAAAATTAAACATTTTTTTTGGTATCTTCCAGGTAAGGCTCACTGAGCTATTAGCTGCTTTTCAGATGTGAGCTGGCCACAAATTATAGCTCAACAAGGTGGCTTATCATCACGCGGAGATTTATAGCAGCCAAATCATCTAGACGCATGTTTGGAAATAATCAAGACGCATGTTTGTAAATACACTTAAATGCCCATGCTGCCCTGGCCACCGATCCCAGCGGTTCTCAACATTTTTGTGGCCACTCTGCCCCACCTTGTTGAATTTAGTTTCAACCGAGTATCCCCCTTGCCTGACCCAACATGGTTCTGAGAAATACATGTATGAATAATGAACATCATATTTTTATCAATTGTCCATTTTGTGAGATATCCTAACCAGCTAGTGACTGCAAGCCAATAAAACTAAAATTCAACGGGCGCTCTGGGCGTGTGACGCTGGTTACTCTTGGAAACCGACATTGTTTACGATCAATGAGTTTAGAAAGGTCTTTTATATCTTTATAGGTTACCATTTGTATTTAAACCTTACCGTAGTTATTTTACATCGACAGATTCATACGGCACGATTATAACACCGATGACTCTCAGGAATTATACAATTTCACACATTTATAAATCACCTCACGTACCCCCTCTCGGGACATTATCACGCGTTACCCCCCCCTCCTCCCAGGAGTTTCCGCATATTGAGAACCCACTGCGGTCTAGCCCAAGGCGTCATCTGTTCCAAAGCATGTCCAGCCCTGGCGTGCGGGCTTGAGCCCCCCCCGCGCTCCTGGCCCCTTACCTTCTTGACCTCGTACTTGATGGCGAGCTTGAGGCGGATGAGGGCTGCTCGCTGGCGGTCGCAGGCTGGCGGGTTGAGCTCCGCGTCGCCGTTGAGGATCGCCTCCACCTCCTCCGTGTCGCGGCACAGGTCGAGCAGCCCCACCACGAAGTCTTTGCACTGCACCGACAGCTTCTTGTAGTCGTTCTGGGACGAGTGCAGTGGCGGAGGAGGGGGGGTGGTAGGAAGAGAGGAGGAAAGGAGGAGGAAGGGAGGAGGAGGAAGGAGGGGGAGGAGGGGGGGGAGGAAAAGGAAGGGAGGAGGGGGGAGGGAGGAGTAGAAAGAGAGGAAGAGAGTAGGAGGATGAAGGGAGAAGGAGGTAGGAGGAGGGATGGAGGAGGAGGAAAAGAGGAGGAGGGAGGAGGAGGGAGCAGGAGGGAGGAGGGGTAGGAGGAGGGAGGAGGGGGGAGCAGGGGGGAGGAGGGGGGAGGGAGGAGGTGGAAAGGAGTAGGAAAGGAGGAGGGGGAAGGGAGGAGGGAGGAAGGAGGAGGGAGGGAGGAGGAGGGAGAGAGGAGGAGGGATGGACGGAGGAGTAGGAAAGGAGGAGGAGGGAGCAGGGACAGAGGGAGGGAGGAGGAGGGAGAGAGGAGGAAGGAGGGGGGAGGGAGGAGGAGGAGGGAGAGAGGAGGAAGGAGGGGGGAGGGAGGAGGAGGAGGGAGAGAGGAGGAGGAGGGGAGGAGGAAGGAGGAGGGAGGAGGAGGGAGGGAGGAGGGGGGAGGGAGGAGGAGGGGGTAGGAGGAAAAGAGGAGGCGGAGGAAGAGGGCAGGAGCGGTCATCCTCTCAACAGCGATAGCGGCGGATTTTGGCTAGCGATCGAACAGAGACGGTCGGGTCGCTTTCAGATGCGCTTCTGCGGCCGTCTGGAGCGCTCTTCCCTTCCGATATTATGGCGCCACTGGAGCTGTGCATCATCCAGATTGACTAACTATCTTTTGTGTTTTTAGTTTGTTGTCCTTCCCCCCCGCACCTCCCATTTGCATGGTTGGCTACGTACGGTGCGAAAGAAGTTCAGCATACACACATACAAGAGGCCGGTTTGAAGGGAGTGGGATGGATGGGAACGATTGGGGTTGACGGATGGCACGCGATGAAGGCGACGGTTCTGGCACAGAGCTGACAGAAAAGTGCGAAACAGCAAACCTGGGAGTCGCTGCTGTGCAAGTGGGTTTTAGATTGGGAACTTGCTTCATTTGCTTCCAAGATGTCGTTTGTCGCGCGGTGAAAACACAGAACGTGTAGCCCGGCTCGAGAATTGAATTCGGGTCATCAGCGGCGCGCTAACCACTGCGCCACCCCTCCCCCACACATGAACTAACAAAGACAAAGACCCCCCCGTATAGCCTTCAACAGATTGTTGGGGCAAGTGCCATTTGCGAGCACCTATGAAGGCTGGCACGGCACACGAGGGGGGGGGGGTGGTCAGCACCACGCCCGGCGGCCTTTGTCTCCCCAGTGGCGATGTATACACATCGCACCAGGTACTCATTTGAGTTCACCTAGGGGGGGCCCAGGACCGGTACAGATGATCGTCACCGGTGTTGGCCGTGAGCAGGAATCTAACTCAGGTGACCGGGTTCGTATACCAACAGCCGCCATTCGCCACAAAGTGACGGTGACATGGACCACGGCGCCTGTTGCAGGCCAGGTGAACTTTGAGGCCACGTGAAGTGTCGAAGGCTCGCTGACAAGAGGTCTCGGGATAGACCCAGGTGCCGTGGGTTGGCTGACTGAGATGACCGGTAGATGCACCAGCTGTGCCAACTTGCTACGTTTTATCCGCCCGGTGCTCCGCTCGTTGTTGTGAGCGTTGCTCCTTTGCACTCCGTTGTTGCTGGAGGGTGACTGCCTCCAACTCGCCAGTAGCTTCCTTCACGAGCCTCCTCCATTTATGCCGTTCGTGACACCGCTGGTACCAATCGTCGGCAAGTCCACTCAGCTCTACATCCTCCTGTACCGCATCAGCCCATCTCTTCTCCAGCTTGTGCCGCGCCCATTTACCCCCCTCTATCCAACCGAACAAAATCTGTTTAGGTATGCAGTGGTTAGGCATGTGGGCTACATGACCCAGCCAATGTAGATTTGCCTGCCAGAGCTCACCGATGGGACTTTGCCCAGATCTTTCAAGGATTTGTGAGTTCCTCACATAATTTAGCCTGGTTAAACCCATGATTGATCATAGTCAGGGCAGCCTAAATATTGCTAACTGACGCAGATGTTCCATTAGAGGGGTCCACGTTTCGCAATCATAGAAAAGGGAGGGCATGACCGTGGCTGAGAAGACCCGAAGCTTCGTGTGTAGCGAAAGACCACGCAGCTTCCACACAGCGTTACACAGCCAAAGCAATTATAATGCTGCCCGACTGATTCGGAGTGAGACCTCTGTGAGACCTCTGCTGTCGAATCGGAGCCGGTCATCAGCACACTGCCCAGGTATGGAAAACTCTCCCCTCTCTCCAGAATTGCCCCATCACCAATTGGGAGTTGTGGGGGTGGAATGTTCGATGGCAGAAAATACCCAGGCGGGTGCTTAGCTTTGGTGGGGCTGATGTAAGGCCCCACCTCTTAGTGGCATGCTCCAGGTTCAGCAGGTTCAGCAGCAGTGCCTCCAAGATAATGACACACACGGACACAAAGACACAGACACACACGCACGCACCTTGAACTCCTTCTCGATGTTGGCCAGCATGGCGAGCTCATTGCTGAGTTCGAGGGCAGTGAGCACGGGGTCCTCGCTGGACAGCGACAGGTACGCGGGGCTGGCGAGGCCGCGGTACGCGTTGATGCGCGAGCGCGAGTGGCAAAAGGCATCGTGCCGCTGCTTCTCGGTACACTCGCCGCACTTGCAGAAGTAGTCGTGCGGCCGCTCGATGCGCGCCCCCCTGCGCAGCAAGATGTGCACGATCTCGTACTCCTGGCAGTGCGCTGGAAGCACGCGGTGGGGGTCGGGGGGGGGGAAAAGGGGGGGGGCGACACGCGCAGTGGACGACGCAGTCAAGGCGAGTGCCGGTTTGGTGTGACACGAGAGGGTGCCGCTAACGGCGAGATGTCAACTACCTCGCCTGGTATGCAAGAGGTCGTGGGTTCAGATCCCGACCCTTAAGATGCCTGCCGTATATTTTTAGTTTGCGTATTCTCTCTCCCTCTCCCTGTGGATGTTTCTCCGGGTCCTCTGGTTTTTTCCCTCCACATTTAGAATCAACGTGCGTCTAAGAGTATTTGGCTGCTATAAATGCCCACGTGATGATGAGCCACTTGGTTGAGCTACAATCAGCAGACAATTTCACTTGAGTCTTGCCTTTATGGTGGCGAGATGTTAACTCCCTCGCCTGGTATGCAGGCATTGGTTCGACCCCAACCCTGATGCTTGCATATTTGGAGTTTGCATGTTCTCCCTGTGATCACGTGGATTTTACTCCAGGTCTTCCAGTTTCCCCCAGATTTAGAATCAAAGTCACGCGTTTAAGAGTTATTGTCCACCATACATTCCAAGTGATAATGATAATCCACTTCGTTGAGCTCTCATTTGTGGCCCAGGTCGCTTCTGCAAAAAGAGACACATTGCTCAGTGGCCATTACCTGCCACAATAAAAAAAAATTGGATTATAGTTTAGTTTAGAGAGAGAGGCAGGCAGGGACCTACAATATATCTCATTAGCAAAGGGTGACCCCCGCTGGGAGGTCATCACCACCACGGAATTGCAATTGGAGCAAAACAAAAATAGGCGGCGTGAACGAGCAAAATAGCGATGATCGTGATGATCACGATGATGTGTGTATTGATGTTGACCTTCTTTTGCGCTGTACAGGCGAACTTGGGCGGTCGCCTTGGGCACCAAGTCAAGTGAGGCGCCAAATTCGAGGATACAATTTTAATTATTTCAATTTCTGTGCGCGCACAGAGGGAATATGAATTATAATTCATTTCTCAACATTCCTGAGAATGTATTGGTTGGACAAATGGACGGGCAAACTGAATAGTTATGCCTCTGTTTAAAGAAGAATACGCTTAAAAAAACATTAAACGAAAAATAGGGGCAAAGTGTTTCCCATTTCTCTAAGACGAAGGTACTTTGCAAGCCCACTGGCTATCAACAAAGATTATTTCATGAAGCCATCCATATATACAGACACAATTTTCACCGAGAGGATGGGTACAAACTCAGCAATCACTAGAAGGACGTCATCAATCAGTTTAAGTCATAACTGGCTGTGATGTTTCCATCTTGTCACCTTCCGATGTTGGTTTTATTTTACCAAAGATGTGACAAGCAATTTCAGTTCCTGCGGTGTCGCCCATGCATCGGGAGTAGCACAAGTTGTTAAATTCTCCACGTCTCATGCGGCTCCCCCTCTCTTAATTCCGAATCCACATTAACATCACCATCTACGCTTGCACAGGCCCCAGGCCACTTGTGCCCCGCCCACTTCGTTCTGATACCAGGACGCCTGGGCTACGCCCATTTTAAACCTGTAAAAACAGCTTGCCTTTCGTGGTGTTCCCCCCTTTTTTCCACTGATCACAGTCGCTTGTGTTGCGATCGAAACGTCGCAATTGATTTTTATTTATTTATTTTTAACCTATCTACTTGACTTTACCGAAAGACCCCAAAAATATGAATTCCTGCAGTCACGAAAGCTTTAAGTCAAGATGTAAAGTGTTTCCCAGTTTACCAAAAACCTCAGGCTTAGATCTGCCCTTGGGGTCTGGGGATAGTGGTGCTGACTTCATGGTTCGCCTAGGGTGCTGCCAGTTGCTGGCAGCTGGTCTAGGGACGCCCCTGTACATAGCCAACTGTGCTAATCGGAGGTGCGGGGAAAGGACAACAAACTAAACACATACAAGCAGTTCTAAAGAAGCTAAAGTGTTGTTTAGGGCCTGGGATCGCCTTTCCAGTTGCTCACTCAGCGACTGCAACATTTCCCGGTGTAGAAGTCAGTAGTGACCCCCCCACCCCCCGATGATCACAATGATCATTATGATCATCATCATCATCATGAACATCATCATCATTGTGATTATCATAATCAGCGTGACCATCGTGATCGTCATTATCATCATGATCATCGTGACCATCATTATCATCGCGATCATCATTATCATCATGATTATCATGATCATCATGATTATCATGATCATCGTGATCATTATGATCATCGTGACCATCATTATCATCATGATTATCATGATCATGATGATCATCGCGATCATCGTGATAATCATGATCATCATGATTATCATGATCATCGTGATCATCATGATCATCGTGACCATCATTATCATCATGATTATCATGATGATCATCGCGATCATCGTGATCATCACGATCATCGTGATCATCGTTTACCATTGTGATCATCATCATCATTATCTTGAACATCATCACACCCCGCCCCCCCCCGCCCCCGAGGTATCCACAGCCGACCTGCAAGGATGATGGGGGTGATGTCGGGAGAGAAGCGTGTGCCATCTTCGTCGTAGGCGTAGAAGTCGTCGTCCTGCGTCTCCTGCTCCCGGGGGCTCAGGATGAGGCGCTTCTCACCGGCGAAGGCCGGGTGGGCGAGGATGGTCTCCACAATCCGCACGTAGCCTGAAACGCACACCGCGCGGCGTCATTGTTGTCGTCATGGTGATCATCATGATCATCATTAGGGTGATCATCGTGATCATTGTTCTTCCACTCGTTCACCCAGGAAAGCCTCGCCTGCCAGGAGGGTCCTGGCAGGTTTTTTTTCAGAGCAGGGGGTGATGCTGTTGCTGTGTGCAATCCCAATTGAGTGATTTGCAGGAAATCTCTCCGCATTGCGCTGTTTTTGGCCAAGAGCAGTTACGCTGTGTTTTTTTTATTTGCTATGGGAGAACTAGGAGCAAACCCACGTGGAAAAGAAGAGGAGATAATGCAGAACATCACACAGGATGGAGTGCGAATCGGAAATCAAACCCAGGCCCTTCTTACTGTGAGGCGGCACGAGCATCAGTCCAGTAATCCAATAAGCATGTTGAAATGAATCAGTCGCAACACACGATGACTCCAGGTCGCGACCCTTTGTGATTTTCCGCTTGCTGGAACGGGACGTTACCAACAGCCGAAGAGCTATTCCCAGTCCCCAATAAAAGCACACAAATACCACTCAAGCAGTTCCATTGCTGGTACGTTATGTCCCTTCCCGAGCCGGCTTACCACGCGTCAACACACTCATCATATTTATCACGGTACCTTTTCTTTTGCCGGTATCGACGTATGAAAAGTAAGAATAGGGTTTACCATTTCTAGCAATAACACAGGAGGCGTTAAGCTGTTCAAACACCAAATATATGCCTTTTGCAAGTAATCGAGTCTGCATTATTAGCCACACGTACATGCAAACAAACATGCTCTGATAATGTGCGCACTGTCTTTGAAATTGATAAGAAGGCCGCTTCCTCTGGTGTAGGTCAATCAGTTTCAAAGACAATACGTACATTCTAGATTTGAAGCTTTCGTGACTGCAAGGATTCATATTCTTAGGTTTTTTCGGTAAAGTCACGTAGGTACCTACGTGACTTTACCGAAAAAACCTAAGAATAACAATACGTACATTATAAGAGCATGTTTGTTTGCATGCTCACCACAAGTACGTGTGTGCAAAAGGCATCTATTTGGCGTTTGAACATGTTAACACACCTCCTGTTATATTGCCAGGAATGGGTAAACACCTATTCATGCTTTTCACACTAATCATATGTGATGCCCTGTCACGAGCTCACCTCCTCGCAAAGTAGAACGCAGCGCGCGTAAACCATTTACAAAACCCGAGCCGCTTAATTCGATCTTCCGCGGGGAATGGAACGATTCGTCTGCCGCCCACCGCTGGTTTGGTGATTCGCTGCGAGGTTCGATGGGGGTACGGGGTGTTGGGCGACTTTGAGGCGAGAAACGAGATTGTGGCCTTCTACCCTGCTCGAAGAACTGTTGCAGCGATTCGGTGCTCGATGTGATGACGTCAACAATAGAAAACAGCTAATTGGGTACTTGCGAGGCGCCTCGAGTGAATTTACCCCCCCCCCCCACCGAAAAATGTAGTCAACAACACTGTCTTCTAACACGGCAGTAACGCAATGACACTGGCATGACCACATTGGGATGACCACGATGATATAACTACGATTATAGGACCACGATGAGATGACTACGATATGACCACGATGGCATGATCACGATGACATGACCACGATGACATGACCACGATGACATGACCACGATGACACGACCACAATGATATGACTTGAATGACAGGACCGCAATGACACGACCGCGATGACATGACCACGACGACACGACCGCGACGACAGGACTGTGATGACAAGACCACGACGACACGACTGCGGTCGACGGCACACCGCGACTCGGACAGGGGCCTCCGCGCACCCTTGCTGATGGCGAGCATGAGTGCGTCGCCGACCCGCGACAGCTTGTCGCGCTTGAGCAGCAGCTCGGCCACCTCGAGGTGCTCGTTGCCCACGGCGAGCTGCATGGCGTTCTGGCCCATGTAGTCCACGCAGTTGACGTTGAGCGAGCGGCCAGCGCCGCAATCCTCCAGCATACGGCGCACCACGGGGATGTTGCCGTACTCGGCCGCGTCGAGGAAGCGCTCCTCCTCGGCCGTGAGGTTCGTGGCCCGCTCGCTGAACATGTACGCGGGGCCCCGCACCGCCTGACGCCGGCCCGCCTTCTCCCGCATCATCGTGGGCCGCCGCCGTATCGTCTGCCGGTTGACGGACGCTCTCCTGCGGGTTGGCGGGGAGAAAGAGAAGAGGAGAAGAAGCAAATGTTTGATTTTGTTGGGGAGCCAAAGGTTCGAGGAGGTCGCTGGGTGGCTCCGAAGTCGGAGCGCCGAGGTCTTGGGCTGGGAGCTGCCCACGATCGACACCGGCTTCTCGAACAGAGCGAGCCGCTGGTCACAAGCTCGGCGACCTGATGGATAATTGGCTGTGTCGGGTGGCGGCGGTTTTGACGACACATTTATATCTTGATTTGAAGCTTTCGTGACTGCAGGAATCCATACTCTTTGGTTCTTTCGGTAAAGTCACGTAGGTATAAAATAAATCACGACGTTTCGGGCGCAACACCTGATTACGGATGCTGATTACGGACGCTTGTGTTGCGCCCGAAACGTCGTGATTTATTTTATTTTATACCGACGTGGCTTTAAAGAAAGAACCAAAGAGTATTGACACATTTATATTTACAACAAAAAAACTTCATTATGGATGATATTGGTCGCGAAAGCCTCCTACTATGTGCTATGACGTTAACTATCTTGATCCCCCCCACCCCACTTTTGAAATTATAACAAATTGCATAAAGACAAAGATCTCCCATGTAGCCTTCACAGACTGTTGGGGCAAGTGCTGTTAACGAGTAGTACCCGATGAAGGCTGCCATGGCACACGAGGTAGGTGGCCAGCACCACACCCGACCGCCTTTGTCTCCCCAGTGGCGATGTTTACACACCGCACCAGGCACTAATTTGAGGCTGAGTTGACCTAGGGGAGGCCCAGGACCGGTTCAGATAATCGTCACTGACAGTGTTGGCCGTGAGCAGGAATTGAACCTGGGTCGCTGGGTTTGTAGCGCAGCGCGCTAACCGCTACACTACCACACATACAAGTAAACGCGCAGACACACACACACACAGACACACACGTATATATGTATGAAGCAATCACGAACACATCAGCAGGCAAGTCCCGGGGTCAATTGGCGAGCCATCCCAAAGCAAATCTTGAAAGCCCAGCCATGCGACGCGGGCCTGGAACCAAGGCCGTAGCCATGGAGTCAACATTGGGGGGGTTCAAATCCCCCCCCCCAGAAAAAAAATCTTAATTTGAAAACTCATTTCCTGCCATTTCCTGCCTAAAATATTAAAAAAATTCACTAACACATAGGATGGATTTTTTTTACCAAAATGTCAAATTGTGTTTTTTTTCTTATTTTTTACCTTTTCTTGTTTCATTGTATCTAATGGCAGAGATTAGGGATTAATAAAGTACAACCATAACCAAAATCATATAAACAGAAATCTATGCATTGTTATATGAAGACATGTCCAGATATTGTGGCCAAGCTTGAGCAAATTGTTGTTTTTATTTACATATTTACAAGTAAACTTGGGTGGGCAGCAGCGGGGGCGTTTGCTCTGCTCTGCTCTCCTATCTTCTCCTCCCCAGCCCTCTCGTCTCCTCTTCTCTGGTCTTATATTCTCCTCTCTTCTCCAGTCATCTCTTTGCCTCTCCCCTGCTCTGCAGTCATTTCTGCTCCTTTCTTCTGCTCTCCTCTCCTATCCTCTCATCTCCTCTCCAGGCAATGACAAGTGTTTTGACTTGTCATTCTTCAAGCAAAGGATCCAAAGGCCTATTTGCGCTTATCGTTGACACCGATAAATGACCGGAATATTCCTTCAAGGTCAAATCTGTCCAGTTTCTCCTGGTGCACGTGACACATGGCCACATTATTCAGCCTTGTTTGACTCATCAAAGATATAAGCCATGTCTTAAGGCAGGGATGACCAGCAGAAGCCTTACTAAAGCTTCTACCTGACTGAAGAGACCTCTCACCTCTGGCACAATTTCCCTAATAATGCTAGCAACATCTGAGCCCGTTTGATTTGTGTAATTAGCCCCAAACATGGCCAGCTACACCTGCAGTAATCTTGAATTCAACTCAGGATACTCGTCTACCACCTTGTCCACGTCTCTGCGTAGCAGCACATTTTCAAGCTGCTGCAGATTGTGGTATCCAGCTTGATCAAACATCTCTATGAATTGAGTATTCACTGTGTCCAAGGCGTTGTACAATTGGGCTCTGTAAAAAGACTGCGCATCCGGATGGATATGTCTACAGCCTGACCGGTGCAACGCTTTGTAGGTTTGCGGATATGAGGCATCTGAATAGGTTGTTGGTCCAACTTTGTTGCCATAGTAGTTGCTTTTGCGAACAAGAAAATAATGTGATCCTCCATTCGCTTGTCCTGCATGCTTGTTTTGACATGGTCCACATCCTCCAACATGCCTGAAACAGTTTCCTAAGCTGCAGGGAGGTGTTCAGTCACTCCAAATCCCCCATAGGTCTTCAGCCATTACAAGGCCGAGGACAGTGTTCCCTTTTAGAAATGTTCCATGAAGACCATTGGACTTAGTTGAAGTGTCAGATGAGCTGCATGATGCCATTTATTCAAGGGCTGTCAGCACTGACTCATACTGGCTGAGAACTGAGCGTAAGGCAGGGGTGCGAACAGTCGACTTGGTGGGACAGAGGGGTTTCAACGAGGTGAAACCATGCTCTGATTTTGCGATTTCCTGGAAAATCACCTTGAACTTGCCAGATTGATTAAAGAAGCTCCCCAATTCATGCACCAGACCCATTGATTATCTTACTGGGGGAGAGGCTGCACAGGCAGCCTGCGTTACTAAGTTCACGCAGTGTGGACCACAGTGACAATACATACCCAGCGGTTGTTCTTTCCTTAAAATGGCTTGCACCCCCTGCAATCGTCCAGTCATATTTGCAGCACCATCGAAGTTGGGACAGAGGAAGGCCTAGATGCATCATCACATCACATGCCATCTTGGGTATATTTTGCCCTGTCGTTGATGACACTTCATAGAGTCCCAGGAATTCTTCCTTTGGTTGTAGATCTGCATCTACAAAGCACAAACATATTGACTACTGCTCAACTCCTGATATATCCTGGGTGCCATCAAAGATTAATGCGAGCTGGACCACTGGTATTGATGTTTTTTTCCGACACAATTTCTTTGACGATTGTATTGCCCACCAGCTTAAAAATTTCGTTTTGCATTTGGGAACTGGTGAAATCAAAGTGACCTTTCAGCCAGGTGGTCAGCTCTACATCACTCTCTGCCTTGTACTTTAGAAGCCGGCTGAAATTCCCACTCTCCTTATCAACGCCTCGAAAAGCCAGACCTTGCCGTGGCAAATTCTTCACACCCCCAACAATCTTCATAAGATTTCTCCTCGCTTGTTGCTGCTGTCTTTCAAGTTCACGTGAAAGTTGCACATTAACAGGTTTGGCTCCTGAATCTGAGTCATCACAGCTAATTTGTGACACTGGCTGTCTTCATGTGCACTACATTTCTCCAGTGCCTTCTTCGAATTTTGAAAGCCAGTCTTGACAAAAGCTGAATCTGCTTTTGACGCAAGCTTAGACTTTTGTGTTGCACAATAGAAACAGAGTACCCCCTTTAAGTAGGGGCTGTAATGGAACCAAGTATAATCTTTCAACCATTTCTCCTGAAAGTAGAGTGTCCTATTTGATAGGATTTGACTAGGTATGACATTCTTGATTTGAAGCTTTCGTGACTGCAGAAGTCCCGAGTGCACCGCCCATGGTACTGGTGCTGTTGATACACTTGGGCTACGCCCATCCCCAAACCCTTATAAACAGTTTGCCTTTAGAGGCTGACTCCTTTGTCTGATGACGACCGCTTGAGTTGCGATCGAAACGTCGTGATTTTTTATTTTATTTCTAACTACGTGACTTTACCGAAAGAACCAAACAGTAGGTATGACATTAACATTTGGCTGATTTGGGCGAGGTCCAAGCTCCTCCCCACCCTCTCCTGCACCTTCATCGTCACTTGCCTGTCTGCTCTCTCTCTGTCTCTCTGTAATTGTCTCAAACTCACTCTCCCTGCTTGATTGTATTTTCTGAAATACACCTGAGAAGCCATACCGTACTTAGAGGAATATATCAGCTTAATTAACATTAGGATTAGACTGTTGTGGTGTCATTATTCGGTCTTCACCTACTCACACTGCCCTGTCGGCATCCTCATGCTCTCTCTCCCTCTCTCTCTCTCTTTACTCTGAATGCACCAAAGCGAACATGGAAGAAATCTTATCAGTAAACAAGTGGTGTTTCTTGCCATGATGTTCAGGAATGGATTAATAACCATTTCTGATCTGAAGGGCAATTAATATTATATTGAGAAACCTTGACTCATCTCTTGTACTACTGTAAACTTATATCATCTGACTGGTACCCATTTTCTCACCGCTCTCAACTTACTTTTCTTCTTTTCTGAAGCAGCCCAAAAAACTGATGTCACTGCCACCCTTCCTTTTGCTTATGATGACACTCACTGTGAATGAAAGCTGACTGTAATACAACTGCTTGCACTTGAATCAAAGAAACACTAATAATGCTCTTTATCATAAGTACAGCTATACACTATACTACAATAATATGCAATAAATGAAAGCTACTGCTGTCGACAAATATGACACATGCAGCGCAACATAAATTATTGACACTTTAGTCAGACTTCACGTGAGCTTTCTGACAAATATAACGTAATAAAGACATTAATGTTAGTTGAATACCCCGTGAGCGCCATTGTTAGTGGTTGGGTAAATGTGCGGCTAATTAACTTTCCAAGTCACTTACTTCTCTATGATAGCTAACGTTAGTGATGGTTAATTGATTAGCAATCGCAAATCGGCCCGTTTTCACCTAAAAACGTTTGTTTCCACTCGACAGTGATATAGGCAATGTAACACTCATATTACATTCTAGTTTTTTACTTTTTTAACACATTTGAAAGTAATGAAATGGATATACAGTGCAGTGTTTGACATTGATTGTACCTACCCACAGCAGTCGAACAACGGCTTCTGCTGGGGTACAGCAAAACCACTTGGACAAACCAGCCGGGTGCTGCTGCAGGGTCCACTTTCTGCCCCGCCTCCTTCCTCCCCCCTTCTC